CCCTGCCTTTTGCTCTGGAAGCATGCAAAGGAAGAGCATTGCCAGCTTCTTTTGACGGAGAGATAACTTATTCTTCAAAATGGCAGGCAAAGGGTTTTTTTTTGGGGGGTGTTGAAACCGAGAAACCTTCCCCCCATCCCTGCACCATGACCACCACCCTATAACTGAGCATCTGGTTTAAGCAAATGGGTGATGAACAGGGTAAGGATTTGGGTCATGGAAGGACCACTCGGAGAGACGGTGGGGTGCCCTGATTAAGTACGTCGTTGGGACTTGGAAAATCCAGGTTGGAGTTCTTGTGAAACTCAAAGACAGGGTGATCCCAGCCTGTCTCTCTCATCTCCTCAGCCCTGACCCACCTTGCAGGGAGGTTGTGGGAATCAAAGGGATCGCTGCCAATATCACCCTTCGAGCTTGCTAGAAGGAAAGGCAGGAGCCGAAAATGTGACCACTATGAGTCCTGATTTGGTGCTTTGGGGTCACCCGGGGCTCCCCGACGTATGAGTCCTGATTTGGTGCTTTGGGGTCATCCAGGGCTGCCCGACGGATGGATTCTCTCTCCCTCTCTCTGAAGATCAGAAAACAATGTTTGTGAAGCTTGCAGGCAGGAATGGACTAAAAACAAAAAGGTTAAGAGCCAGCCCGTTTCAAAAGCTAACCTTGAAAACACTTTTAAAGTCCGCTCCCCGCCTCCCAAGAATGGAAGGCAACAAATAAATAATAAAAAGGGTATCCTCAGGACCATGAGATATATAAATAACAATGTGCAGGGGGGGGGAGTCTTTGGTTCATCCAGTTCTTCTCCACCAGGGCTTCCAGTAGGAAGAGACCCCAGAGGTGGGGGCAGGAAAAAGAGACTGATTGGGGGGGGGTTCACTTATCTGCCCATCTAGCTTGGCATTTTCTATTCCAACTGGCAGGGCTCTCTGGCACAGGGGGCTCTCTCTCCAGCCGACCTCACTCCCACTTGCCAGAATCTGTATAACTGGAGGGAAAAAAAACCCACACACCAAATGTATGAGTTTAGGCCTCTGGCTGTGGAGTCCGGGGTTGGGAGTTCGATTCCCCGCAGTGCCTCCTTGAAAAAAGGTTGGACTCAATGTTTCCTGGGACCCTTTCCAGCCCTGCAGTTCTAAGATCATTTTATCATCAAGAAGGGAAAACCCCAGAAATCGCTGGACCAAGTGGGAAGAGAGGAAGGAGCAGGAAGCAAGGAGATGGACTCAGAGGTCCACACACCCCGAGGAAGAAAAGCACAAAGAGAGAGAGGGGGGGTGTCTTTCTCATCCCGTATAGCTTGGCATCTGTCACATTTCTGGAAATGGTACATGCAAGCCATGGTAATGAGATGCAACTAACCCCTCTGGGATGTGATATATTTCATATCTGCCTGCTTTTCTTGCCACCCCCTCTCCCTCCCCACCAGCATAGAGGCAAAGGCTTAACTGCAGGACTCCACCAGCTTTCGAGGCATCCACCACTACTAATAGGTTGAGGCTTGGCCAGAAGGGGTTGCCAGTAAGGCGTTGTCCCCAGAAGCAACGGTTCTCCTGTTAAGGGTCCTGCAACCTTTAATAAGGCTGCTGTGTCTCCCCACGTAACGGAAATGTGTTGCCACTAAAACAGCGGGATTGATTAAGTGCTGGCTTCAAGGCCTTTCTCTAACTGGGAGGAGGAAGCACAGTTATGCCTAAATAAATACATAAGGAGAAACAAGCGACTGTTTTTTTAAACAAAGCAACCTTACCAAGTAGTACCAAGGGGGGGGGGAGAGAAGAGGATGATTTAGTGGAAGACAGAAATGTCACGAAGAAGCAGAAATTAAAGAGAGAGGGCTAACTTTGAGTTATTCGTTCATCCGACTCTTAAGTTTCATTAAGTGTCAAGGGAGCATTATTTATTTAAATACAATTTAGTAGGGGAAATTCTCTAATATAGGATGATTTGGTTTTGCAGATCTAAATGTGGGGGCAGTTCCAGGGGAGGAGCGACATTTGGGGGGCCCCCCAAAGCCTGACGCTTCAAGGCCTTTCTCTAACTGGGAGGAGCAAGCACAGTTATGCCTAAGTAAATATATAAGGAGAAACAAGCGACTGTTTTTTAAACAAGACAACCTTTACCAAGTAGTACCAAGGGGGGGGGGAGAGAAGAGGATGATTTAGTGGAAGACAGAAATGTCACGAAGAAGCAGAAATTAAAGAGAGAGGGCTAACTTTGAGTTATTCGTTCATCCGACTCTTAAGTTTCATTAAGTGTCAAGGGAGCATTATTTATTTAAATACAATTTAGCAGGGGAAATTCTCTAATATAGGATGATTTGGTTTTGCAGATCTAAATGTGGGGGCAGTTCCAGGGGAGGAGCGACATTTGGGGGGCCCCCCAAAGCCTGACCTGTTATGGGGGCCCCTTCACAACCGGCAATGAGGTCTGGATTCCCCCTGTTATCTTCTCCCATGCGGTTGTTCCCAGATCAACACAAGTCTCTTAAAAACGTGGACTAAAGTTGTTTCTGGAGGTCCCTCCGGGATTAGTTTCATGGTCGCTCTGCCCCTGGACAGTTCAGCCGCCTGCCAAGGTGAGCCATCTTTTCCGAAAGTTTCTCGGCTGGCTTGTTCATCCAAGGATAAACAGGCAGCCAATAGTCCTGTCCTCAGACTGACTCCCCCTGCTAGCAACTGGAGCGTCAGCAAACTTCTCCAGCTTCACTTGAAAGGAGAAGGAAGATGGGGTGGGGAGGGGGATCAGGAAGGGAAATTTACAAGTGAAAAGGGTTAAGAATTGAGCACTTTTGTGAGATAAAGAGTCTGCAGAAGGGGGTTTTACAGATGTGTAGAGGGACTGGGGAGCACGGTAACTCATTGTTTAATTAAGCAGAAAGTGGCTCTTTTGAAAAGCAATTTTACACAGGAGCTTGGATGGGGTTGGGTGGGTGGAAGAGAGAGAAAGCTTAGCAAACAGTTCTTGCAAAAAGGGAGGGGGAAGAAGGGAGAGGGGAACAGCTGGCACCGCCGTGCGAACCCAGTGTAGGGCAGTTTAAAGAGCTGTGGGACAGGACCCTCTCCCCTGCAGCCCTCCTCCTTTGGGAAACCATGGGTGCGTGTGCACACACACCTTGTCACCCCGTAAACCGTCCCACAGCCACCTTGGGAACACTGGCCTGGTCCGTCTGCGCGCGGGACACAGAAAGCTTCTTTTTATGGGTATATACAGGCAGAAAATCCGGAGCTGGAGTCCCGAAGGCAGTTCGTGTCGTTCTGCCAACTCCTGCGATGTTGCTGGAACCAGTTGTACTGGCTCTTGCCTTTCCATTGGACCATTTCAGCAACGTGGAGAGGGGGGATTTGCTGGTTGGGTAACAGCCTATCCTCCATATTATTTTACCCAGGCTTTGTGCCCTGGAGAGGACACTCCTCGATACAGAGCACGTTACCATACTCTCTCGAGACTGAAGGATGCCTATGTATGTATGTACAGGTGGGCAAGAGAAGCGATCGTTACCTTCCTCTCCATCAAATTGATCCCACCTTTCTCTGTTATTAACCCATGATCCAAATGGATCTCCATTTCCAAAGCAGGAAACACTTCCCTCTCTCTTTTCCCAAAAACCTCTTTTCCCGCTCACTGCTCCTTTCCCTCTGTCCCTCTTTGCTCCGCCATCCCGCAGGTCCCTCTGAACTGGAGAAGGCATCTGAAGTCAGGCGGAGGGATGGAGGAGAGAGAGCGAGAGAGCGCACGAGGAGGTCAGGAGGAGGGAGGCCGCCTAACAACCCACAGAACAGGGAGCCGAGGAGGGCCAAGAGGTTTCTCTTCCTTGGCGGGTGGGAAGGCCCTGGGAGTCAAGACAGACCAGACTGGACGATAGGGACAGAACAGAAAAAAGGGCGTTCAAATCTATGTTTTGGTGCAAGGATGGCCCTCGGACCAACGTCTAGCACCTCGGGAGCATTTCTGCATCTTTCAAATTCCAGTCTTCAACCCCCTCAAGAAAGGTTGAAATGTATTTATGAATCCACTTATTTATATATCTGCTAAGACGCATCTTTATTTCTGCTCCCAGAGGCCTTGGAGGGGTCTCTGAAATTCTCCCGCTATCCTAACCTTCCTCAGGTCAAACTCACTGGCCACGTCCGGGACTAGAGTGGCCCGTGACACCGTTTGTCACCCAGCGTCTGGCCAACGTGGCCCACGGTTTTTCGGAAGCTCGGCTGCAAAACAGGGACAGAAAGGCCTTGCATTTGAGGGCCGCTAAAACTTGCACAAGAAGGCTTTTAGGGTTTCACTTCTCCTCCAGGGGCTTCCATATTGGCCAACTTGGAGGGCAGGGAAGGGGAAATCCGCAAGAACCGCCCCATGCAAAATACTCACAAGGCTTGTTCTGGCTGGGCAAAATCACCTGGTGCTTTTTGACCCCGTCCAGCAAGAGCTCCGCCCCGCCTCTGAAATGGAAAGCAAAAATAAGAAGAAAATCAAATCATCCTCCTGCACCTTACGTAAGCCCCAATATTTCAACATTAAAAAAAGGATGAGCTGATGGAGATCCCTACATGTGGGTCTCTGGATCAGAAGGTCCCCACCCTTCGCTCCCCAGATGTCCTTGGACTACAACTCCCAGAAATCCGGGTCAGCACAGCTCGCGGTGAAGGCTTCTGGGAGTTGTAGTCGCCAAGCTGTGAAATTCACTGAGCCCTTCGGCCCAAGCGCTCTCTCCCTCTGGCGTGACCTCTCTCACAAGACGGTTGTGAGGATCAAGAAAGGAGGAACGGAAACTCGGGCACAGCCTCAAGCTCAGTGAGGGAAAGGAACGGGGTGCAAATGTTACAAATAAACGTGAAGGCTTCTGGGAATTGTAGTCCACACGTAAGTCGCCAAGCTGTGAAATTCCGTGAGCCCTTTGGCCCGAGCGCTCTCCCTCTGGTGTGACCTCTCTCACAAATGTCACAAATAAACGTACAGTATTTATAAACAAAGGGACCTGGTTCCCAGACTTAAGATCAGCAACGACTTCAGTGGCCCCCAGAATTTCCAGCATCCAGATCTGCTCAGTAAGCATCCCGTGCAAGAAAATCTCCGGAGGCGAACGTCCAGATGTCTGAATGGCGAAATATTAACCCCGTTCTCCGTCTCTTTAAAATCTGGTTACGTGAGAGAGCATTTTTGGCTGTACTTTGGGAAAGGGCACAAGGGACGCCTTTGTCACGCCGGCTGCTCTCCTACCCCCTTAGAGACGCAGCCTTGCTCGGCAAAGGTTGCTCTGTTGGTGCAGCCTCGCTAACAGAAAACTCTGTTATCTTTTTAAAAAAGCAAACCAACACTGAAGTAGCAATTTATTAATGTTCAAACAGATCTGGAGATTCACGGCGAGGGAAGATGCCCCAGCCACCCGAGAAGATAGGTTGCTTTCTCCCCGCTGGGAAAACAAGCCTATGCTTTGTGTGTGTCCACCCATGGCCAAGATGGGAGATAAGGTCTTTTCTGTGACACGGGAGCTGGAGAGGGAATCAGCTGCGACACGAATGCATAGAGCATCCATTTAAACATTTCCAAGAAAAGAGATCGCAAGGGGGGGGGGAGAATCGAACACACACTGCTTGCCAAATATGAATGGTTCTTATAGGCTGCTCTCTCCTTAAAAAAAAAAAAACAACCAAGTGCCATTACACCCACTCTTTCCAACTCTGAGACCTATAACGGTGGGGGACTACAAAGCTCATCAGCCCCAGCTGGCGCAGTCATTGGCAATTGGGTGTGTGGGTGTGTGTTACACATCTGAAGAGCACCAGGCTGGGGGAAGTGAGGCTAGATGATATGGGAACAGAGGGAGATAATTTATTTTTTTGTTTGTTTTAAGGAATAGCCCAGCTGATGTTTCCAGATAAAAGTGTGACTAAGAAAACTCTTTGGGGAGCATTTCATATTGATTAAAATGCCCCAAGAAGTCACCTTTCAAAGCAGGGGAAGGGGAACTGGGTGTAGGTGAGACAGAGAGGGATCCGGGTAAGTGATGGAGCAAGGTCTGCTCGTATGTGGATTTGGCCCTTCCCGCCATCTACGGCAGCACCTAATTTGTCTTCCTTGTGGATTACCGAACCCAGGGTTCTGTTTGCCAACCAGAGACTAACCAGAAGACCCCCAAGCAGGCCTGTGATTTTGCAGGTAATATATAGCCATTAAGCACCAGCATTCCCAGTGGATTTAGCCTCACCAAACTACAGCCCTAGAACCACAGGGTCAAAAGGGATACCCCCTTCCCCTCAAGGTTAGAGAGTCCAACCTTTTGTCAATACAGCTAAAGCACCCCTAACTAACTAATGAAGCTGGTGGTCCCTGGTTCAGTGGTTTAAAATACACAACCAGACAGAAAACATCCCCACCCTCCTTCTCTCGCTGGAGGCAAAGGCAAACAATGAGTTCCAAATAGATTTCCAGGTCTGAAGAATAAAAGGCTAAAGAAGACTGAAATATTTATCACCACAAAGGAACAGACTTAGGGTATTCTTCTCTTCCCCCCACCCACTTGCAAATGAAATCAAGCCCTGTTGATTCTAGCTTACGATATGAATTAAAATTTGAGTCACAATAGTGGGACGGCACATTGTAAACAGCTAAAGTATTGTTCTGTCATTTTAAAGGACTTCTCAAAATTGGCATTTCTACTCAGCTGCTGTGAGTAAACAGCTTCAAGCTGAGCAGCATGAAAAACATGGAAGTGTAGAGAAGACAATTCTAGTTTGGTTCCTTGCAGTACATTTGAGACAAGGGACAACCCTTCAGTGGTGGCACAGCTCCATGGCACTCACAACACGGTCCTGTTTTCTGCTGTCGGTGGCTCATTTAAAGCTCTAATTCTTTGTGAAATAAATGAATATTTTAAAGGTGGCAGGGAAACCTTGCTAAGCCAGAGGGCCACATCCATGTCCATTCAACCTCCTGGATGCCACAATCTAATAGTGAGTACATCTATTGGCGAAAACAGGCAAAACTCCCAAAAAAGTCAGCAGGGCCACCCCATCCTGTGTCCCTTATAGATCTGCCAAATATTCATGTGCATGTACACAAACTCAGACAAAGCTAGACTCTCATTCCCCAACACCCGAAGCATACATTTCTAGAGCTTTATTTCCAAATCAAAATTTCTAAAACAGAAGGCACTACAATTTACCCCTGGCAAACCCTTGAACTATACAACAGATTATATTGGAATGGTTTTGTGTTATAACAAGTGAGAAAATACCACTCTGCACATGCTCAAAGCCATTCTTTATGTCAACTAATCTGGTTTTGCCTTTCCTAAATTGTCCAAAGTACAGTAAAAGAACTGTATATGACGCCTTTCCCGTTTCTAGGCATTTCTAATCTCACTGCTGCTTTCAAAAACTGGTTTTAGTTTTGCTCCAGTTCTCACCTCTCTCTGAAACCAGGAGGATCCATCAATGTAGTTCAAATGGTAAGGGGCATTTCCTTGAGTACTTTCCTACCACCACCTTTTCTCCCAAGATATGACTCTATCACCCATGAGCCACATAAGAACAAACCTTATTTCCAATGACTACCTGTTAAGTCTCCTTTTTTCAAGGTCTTTAAGTAGCTGTGGGTAGATCACAAAGCTACTTTAGCTGCTAGCCTCTCCCCACTTCATTTTTGCGTCCTATTTGATTTATTTCCTCTATTTATTTACTATTTATTATTTATTACATACATTTATTGTTTACTATACATACATTATTTACTATTTATTACATACATACATGGGACCCTCTGCCCACCAGCCATCTGGGGTGCTGGACAATAAAATTATCACTAAATCTTGTCTTCAGAAGTCACCCACCACAAGAGAACTGGGATTTAAAGAATAAAGAGAGGTGTGGCCACTTTGGAGATCTCTTAGAGGAGGTGAAGCAAGGCTGTTTCAAGGAAATAGCAAAAACTGGGCAGCATGCTTGGCATAGTTTTGAAGGCCCTCACACAGCATTTACAGAATGAGCCCGTGACAACTTTACTCCCAGAGACTTTCACTCAGGGTTGGCGAAAGTGTCTCCTTCCAAGCGTCTGTGTTCACTGGTTAATGCTAGGTGACGGCTAAATTTCCACCCAGGCTTTAAATGCCATGGGGGTGGGAGAAGTTATCCTCCTTTTCTATCTCCTCTCACATTCTGATGTCAATCTGGAAAGAATTCAAAATGATATTCACCCTTCAATAGGCCTACTATAAGAAAACACACGAGGGCGGAAAGCAAAGGAAAGCAAGGAAAAAGGGATGAAGGAAATAGGCAACAGGGCGGATAAAAATGGATGATTTTTAAAACTCCAATTGCTTTAAATCGCCATTGAAATTTTTTAAAAAATTATAGAAACCAAAAAAATCCAGTAAACTCCAATTGCTTTAAATCGCCATTGAATTTTTTTTTTAAATTACATAAACAAAAAAATCCATTTTAAAAATTTAAATTGTGATATAAATCAATTTGGCTTCACCCAGATATGCAACACGGGATCTGATCCTGGCCCATGAAGTCCTCCCTTTTCCCCCTCAAACGACCTCACGTTTTCCCTGTTCCTGGGCCCCCAAAATTAGAGAAAACCCTTTCCCCCCTTTTTTTGAAGGAGCAAAGAAGACTTTTTTTCTCTCTTTTTTTCCAGGGATGCAGGAAAGCTTCGAGCGAACGGGGGAGGCTTAACACCAACAGAGGGAAGTGCAGGGCATAAAAAGTCTCCCCCAGGCAGAAAAAAAATGGGCCTTTTTAGGGACACCCTCTTATTCCTCAAACCCACATTTCCCACCATTTTCTGAGCCTCTCTCGTTCAGCCCCCAAACCTGGGGCCTGGCAGAGAAACCCTCCGCCCCCCCCGGCCCCTTTCCCCCTTCATGCNNNCATTTCATTTTACTTCATCATCATCATCATCATTATTATCATTATTTCCCACCCACACCTGTATTCCCTTACCCGAATTCCAACTGGACAGACAAGGGCGCCGCCATCTTGCATCAGGGAACTGCACTGCCCACACCGGAAGTGCCGTCCCCCTTATATCCGGGTTTGGGCTTGTTGCCCAGCAACGAGGCCTGAGCATAGATTTTTAGGCCTGCCGCTCTTTCTCCCTCCCTCCCTCTCTATGGTAGATGAGGCCAGGGAATGGTTGAGAATCTGTTTCATGCTTGTGGTTTCAAACCTCTCATTTCTGGAAACTATCGATCCAGAACAGATGAGCAAGCAGCGTTTAATTCTGTTTATTTAGGGCTTAATGCAGACCAGGGCTTTTCCCTCATTCCCAAGGCAGATATTGAAGGAAGACTGTGTTGCAATTAGAACCTAAAACGTTAAAAGCTTCCACAATCAGGCTGTAGTTCCTTAAAAATTAAAGTTTGCAAGCTCTGGTTACAACTGATAACTCTTATTATGAACGCTCCCTAAGTTTGACATATGCATTCTTTTTTTAAAAAATTGATTTAAGAAGCTGGATCTGTCCATTAGCTTCCCTTGAGACCTCCATTTCTCTCCTATTCTGCACACATGACGTATAATAAACAGTTCAAGCTTTTAAAAACCCAGCCTTTCCCTTATGACAATTTTTAAATTTTATTTTCGCCAGATTTTTTTTTTACTAAAAATTGCAGTACAAGTGTATCCACTAAATACTTCGAGGGCAGATATAAACTGCTTAATATGATTGTTCCCATACTGGACATGAGCAAAGTAGAATCTAAAAGCTGCATAGGATATTGCACCATATACTCTAGTATTGCTATTTTTCACAGTAATCCACTGTTACCATACACAGCCAGTGACCTGGGGTCTGTTAGCAACACTGAGCCCAAATACCAAACTATTATACAGTATTAGGTTCTGTATTAATCTATAATGTATTATATTCTAAATCTATTTGGGAAAAGGCTTTGAAAACTAGAGCAGGTCCATAAAGCTGTAGCCGGGCTGCTTTCCTAGATTCACATCACGTTTCTGAATTCATGTCCAAATGCAAATCAAAATACTGATTATTGCCATCAAAAGAGTAGTTGTATCACTTCCCTTTGATTTTTTTTTAAAAATTTTCAGGGTAGGGGGAAATTACTTGGGATAACAGTGTTTAACATGTCATTTCTTAACACATATTATCTGTACTTACACATATCATTAGATTAAGAACTTTTGTATCTTAATTGCCTATATACTTCCAACTAGAGTTATTTGACTATTTTGTATTAAAATTATTCCATTTGGCTTTCAAGTTATAGAACGGATCCAGTTATATATAGATTCCCATTTTTCAGTTGCTTCTTGGACTGAATTGTCTTTCAAAGCTTCAGTTAATATGTCCATCGCTGGCACTTCCATAATCTTTTCCATAAATTCTTCACAATTTGGTATTTCAGTGTTCTTCCATTTCTGTGCATATATTATTCTGGCTGCGGTTATTATATGTATTATCAAATGGCTCTCCTATCCAAAGTCTCTGGCAACATATTTAATAAAAATAAATCTGGTTTAAGTGGAATATTACATATTAGATTCTTCTGCAACCATTCATGAATTAGTATCCAATAGCTTTTTGCTTCTCTACATGTCCACCAGATATAAGTTTACCTCTTGTATTTTACATTTCCAACATACATTTCATGTACCTTTATACATTTTTGATAACTTATCTGGTGTCATGTACCATCTATAGAACATTGTGTATGTGTTTTCTTTAAAACTTACTGATTTTGTCATTTTTATATTAATCTTCCATATTTTTCCGTCATCAATTTCAATATTATGCCCTATATTTTGCGCCCATTTGGTCATACAATCTTTACTACTTCATCTTCCATCTTAATTTCTAGTAACACTTCATACATTTTTTAATCAATTTGTCATCTGTTTCTAATGTTATTTTATCCAAGGGTATTTGGTCTACGTAAAAATCCTCCTTTTTATCTTTTACATATCTAGATTCCAATTGTATTCTTTCCCACTAATCAATCAATCAATCAGTCAGTCAGTCAGTCAGTCTTCTGTCTTCTGTCTTATTTTTCTAACTTGCCTTTTCTTTTTAATTGACTATTTCCTTTTAGTAATTCTTTGTATCAGAGTAATCTATGGACACAAACTTGGGGTGTGTACAAGCTTCTAATGGAGATATCTACTCTGGTATCTTTCGGTATATCTGATATCGTATCTCGTCCCAGCACCATCATAGAGATCTTCTTATCAAGTGGTTGTTAAAATATTTATAGTCTTTAGCTTTTTTCGGTATCACAAGAATGCATGCCAACCAAGCATCAGATCATATCCTTCTAGCTTGAGTAGTCTATTATTATTTAAGAGTCATCCATTCCTTAGTCCTCCTCTCTGCCTTTTTCTGTTGAGTACTGAAGGGAGAAATGCCATGTATTTCTAGATGCCTATTTAACAGATAGTATTAAGGAACTATTTTCAAACAGGAACATTACTGAACAGACCTGCATCTCTGTTCTGGACGGTGCCATTCCAAGTGGCCGATGGCTAGCATGGTTCTGGACTGACAGACACGTGGTAAATGTGAATGTCACAGGACACGCGAGCAATGTTTCTGTGGGC